CCTTTGATGGTGATAAACGATAACAGTCCAAATGTGAAATTATGTCTAAAAATGAGGCAAGCGAACCGAGTCCAAGTGCCTAGGATAAAAGCTTCCGAACGACGTAATATTCAACCGGGCTTTCCAACTTACAAAATAAGACCCTAGACACTAGACCCCTGAGCAGTTTTACTCAGTTATGAGGTTGACCTTAGACCTCCCCCGTCCTCTTATAGCGTGTATGAGCACACCAGATCTCAGTTCTGGTGTTCAGTAGGTTTGCACAAGTTCAGAGGCCTGGCATGTCTTCATGGTACCAGAGCCACTCTTCCGGCAAGCCACTGAGGGTCAGCCCAGAAAACTATTATAGATGGCCCCCAGCAGTGATTACCAATTACTATCACAAATTAAGAAAACTATAATTATTTTGCACAGCTACCCAACTTTGGAGTGATTCAGACCAAGATGCATAACATTCCCACTATGTTGAGTTTGAAACTGAAACTTTAAACAGAACCCCATGAATGTGCTTTAGAAGAATTATATCCCAGCAGGATTTTGGAAGTTATGAATCCACAGCTCATCTTCTCATACGACTCGTCCTGAAATCTAAGACTGATTATTCAAGAGAATACACATTCATTCAATTATATTGATATCCAATCAGTGGAAGTAAATAAGGTAATTACATTCCTAAATACTAAATAATCTTTCACTTTTTACTGATGGAGCACCTGACAAATACCTGCTAGCCAAGACACTTAACCATAGAACTGCATTCTTGTTAGACCACCATTATTATAAGGAATTTCCTTTATATGGTTCCATTTCCACTGAAAGATGCCTCTCAGTTTCAGTTCTCATATTTCATTTTGTTCAATACGATTTTTTACATTTTGAAATGTTAGATTATGAACCACTATGAGTCCCATTACAACCTTAACTTGTGCCACCAAATGATCACAACTGTTAACAAAATCAAAAGTTTTAACTATAGCTGGGCACCGAGTCATTCCCACTTGAAGTGGGTACCAGCATTGGCACTTTTCTTTACCTTCTCACTTCCACTTCTTGAAACATTCTTCCATCTTTTTTCTCCAAGTTCAACAGATGCAGGAGGGGGGAAGGAAGGGGGGGGGGGGAGATGAGAATTTCTCATCAGTTTCATTTGGAAAAAATAATGCCTTTATATCTTGCATCTACTGTAGATATGTTGCTAAGATTAAGGTGTAAGCATCCACACACTTTGAGAATCTGTTGCTCACTGACAATCAGAGAACAGTGAGTGTACTACCTAAACAGATTATCTTGCATCTGTTGAAGCTTTAGTAACAAAAAGTTGGAGGAATTTGTTTTAAGGAATAAAATCAGACACTGTAATAACTTTCAATGACCCTCTCAGTGATTTTGTGAAATAATTTCACCATCAAAGAAGCTTTACAATGACACTGCAGTTGTTTGCAAAAAAAAAAAAAAAAATAAACTAGAATAGACATTTTAGTGACAATAACTGGCAATTGCTGTTTTCTGGTTGAAGATTCACTTTATCAGAGAGTTTGTGTGCTACTTCATCAAATAACAACATCCTGTTTGAGCTTGTGTTGTGGGAGATCATGATGCATTTGAAATTATGTCAGCTTGGTCAATTCTAAAAGATAAATCAATAATGCATCCATTGATTTTTCTTACTTTTGTAAATAAAATATTTGATTGTCCTTTGTTAAAATATGCAGTCATGAAACGCGCTGTAATGTGCGAAGGAAATGTGAACGCCATTTTTTATCACTCGCCAATAGAAATGGACAAGACAGCCTATTTAAATTAATAGGAGGTAATACATGAAGACATCATTAGAAGTTGGATGTGCAACCAAGCTGTAGAAATGTAAGAAAATTCTTATGCTTTATTCAGGTGGTCAACAAGTAGAATGCATTTTAAGAAGTTATCGAAGCCACTTCCACTAATAACAAAACACATAACACGTAATTTGAATATCAAGAGATGTAATGCCAGGCAAGAGATACTAGGACACAGGGCAGGTAGATCTGACTCCCTTGTAGTCATTGATAGGAAAGTACAGCAAGTTAATTAACAATTCCACTGTTCAACAAATTATTTAATTTTGTTCTTGGGTAATGGGTGTTATTTTCTGTTTGCTTATGCCTCCAAAGAATAACAAATTAGTATTATTCCCCTCAAATTTTGCCTTGCACAGCTTAGGGAAGATATCGTGATGGCTGCCAATTTCTCATCTTGAGCTGTGACATTTGTTTCATAAGTTGGCAGCCTTCAGGTCCCTTCACGACGTCTTCCCTATGCTGTCTGAGGCAAAAGTTAAAGCAATGTTTGGGGGGAATAATAGCCATTCTTTATACTGTTCAGGAATAAAAAATCAGAAAATAACACTTACTACCCAGGAGGCCTGGTCGAGGACGGGGCCACAGGGACGCTACTCCCTGAAATCATCTCAAGGTAACCCAGAACAAAATCTGTTACTTAGTATAATATTTATAAGTATTAGCTTCATAAAAACAATTTGAAACTAATCTTTCTGAAAATAGGAATAGATGTTAAATTAATGGCAATATCAGCAGAAATTATCCGGATGCTGAAAAATAAAAAAAGAAGTACCGAGTATAAAGAAATCCCACTGTGGGAGGCCTCTTACTAGCTTCCAGGAGCTTATATCACTGGGATCACACCACCACCCATTTTTATAACTCTTGTAACATTCATGACCTTCAATGAACTGGGACCAGAAACTGGTTGCCTCAAAGAGACACAGGGGAAAGGGGTCCACCTACAATTGAGGTGAACCATTCAGGTACTCAAAGGGGAAACGAAACAGATTACTGTCCATAGAAAAACAAAATATAGAAAACAAGGTAAATGACAGTTGGCATTAGGCAAAAATGCCTAACTTTAAACTCTCTGGGTTGCAACAAGACAGTAGCCCATATCACCCAGTGTCTCAATCCTCCTTAGTTACAATCTGCCTCAGTCAACCCAAGAAAGAAGGGGATAAGAGTGGTGCTATTTTATGGTGCTCTAGTTCTGTACTGGTTTCCAACAAGCATCAAGGTGCTTAGTCACAACACAACCTCAGTGGAGAACACCTTTGTTGGAAGAGCACAACATTATGAGAACAAAAGACATAAATGGGCTTAAAAATGGAAGAAGTAGACAACAGACTGCTCAGGAAAGAAAAGAGCATCAGGGGGGGCATATTACCCATTCAAGGATCACAAGTTCAGTGAGAACATGAGACATCCAACAGGTAACAAGCAGCCAAAAGCTGCTTGTTACAAAAGCAAACAAGCTACAAAAGCAAAGAATCCTACATTACAACTCATTGTATTCCAGGCTATTGGTGCTAGACACCAACACACACATTAGTCAGAGCCAAGTGCAACACACACTCTACCACACAGCTAACTATTCTATCACCATCAATAAGTCTTGCTTAGGCAAACATATCTCTAGCACTTCCCAAAATAGAGACAGCTTGAAAAGAACTGACCTCAAAGACAACTCTGATAGGGAATTGTAAATGTAAACCAGCACAAGGGAAGAGATCCTGGAAACAATAACCTGCACAAACTAGAATGGAATGGATACATGAGGATGATGGCAAACACAATCCTGAAGTGCTGTATCATGCATGAACCAGGTATGTGATCACTGTCCCAAGAAATGCTAAATACACTTAGCTTGGCAAAAGAAATAATGGTCACAGTAGGAGTGAAGGGGTTGACATAAGATACAAAAGGTGAGAAGGGAGGCTGGCACACTGTGTTGCCACCTAGTGGCAATCAAGCAAGTAGGACTAAGGTTTGTTTATTCTTTGTCACCTTTCATTTGCCTTTTTGCAATTTTATTCTTTTCTCATAAAGCACCTGTTTCTTTTGCTCTGCCTTAAAATTCATTAGTCATGGGGCCAATATTCAATTCCCACGTGGTCTCCTTGCTTCGACAAGGGGGCCAAATTCTGGTCCAGGTTCTTGGTAGGCCAAGAAAGTGACAGGCAGCCTCATATGAAAGGGTAGAGCTGCAATACCAGTGCAATAAGCTCTAGGCAGCTATTGAGGGGACCATCACAGAAAAGATCATTACCATTCATGCTGCAATAATGGTCCATCTCTGCCAGGCTGCCAGGTACACCTCATAAATATAAAACAATAAAATACTCCAACCAAAAATACCTAGAAACACCAGACTGAAGTAAATTAAAATACTTCACAAAAATGGTAATGCTAAGAATTACAATATCAGATCTGGACATATTTCTAAGAGTTTTAAAAATTGTCACCAAGGGAGGATGGGGAGCGGGGAGGTAGAAGTGGAGGGGAGTGGAGGGGAGGGGAATGTGAGGTGACGCAAGGATAGGGAAATGCGAGGAAGGGATGGGTGAAATAGGTTGAGGAATGTGAGGGGGGGTGGGGGTTGAAGAATGTGAGTGGTAGGAGAGAGAGGGAGGGACGGGAGGGGGTATTTGAGTGGGAGGAGAGAGGGAGGGACAGGAGGGGATATTTGAGTGGGAGGAGAGATGGAGAGAGGAAGGGAGGAAAGAGAGAGAAGGGGATGCTGGTAGGAGGGATGGGGTGGGGGAGGGGGGGTATACCATGTCAAGACAAATAAGGTAACATATTCACTATCATCATCTAAAGTGATCCTTTTAAACCTAGTTGTAAGATATACAAAAAATCAGGAAATACATCACTTGTGCAAATTTCCCAAGATAAGAATTAAACATGATGGTTAGCAATGTAAATGACGGGCCACACCCATGGTGGAAAACTGTCCGAAAACACCTCTCGAGCATCAAGGCACATTCAAAGTCACATTATTTCACACAGTTACAGTCCTGGAGTGACCTATTATCGGCAGCTGTAATTGTAAGTTGTGTCCGTGTCCAAAGGAGTTCATGAGATTACTTGAAAACATCTAAAATACGGAAAAAAAAATTATATAAAAAAATATGAAGTACCATTCCAAGGATACACAAAAAGTAGAGTACTTACCTTACGTTTATGATGAAATATGTGCTTTCTGGCTGGAGAGTTAAGATACCTCTTGTGATTTCTGTGATGCCTTCTAGGAGGAGAGTTATCATGATATCCAATGGCTCTCGACTTATCTAAGGTTGAAAATTTAAATGTATAGTATTAAAATCTAATTGAACTTTTCTAGCATATATTAAAAAAGTAGAGATATAAGATGGATGGTGGGGGAGGTTGAAGAGCAAGTATGTGCATATGCAGCCGAGTATGCACACTCTCTAAGAAAACTAAAGAAAAAGTTGCTGCAAAAACGCATGAAAGTTGTGGAGCTAAATTAGTTTTACACTCGGAGTGCAATTATTGTTGTGTGTGAATCATCCATTGCAATGTGGTCATCATCAACGAATATTCAAGTCTTGCGACAGTGTCTGAATATTAGCGGCACTGTAGTTTTGGTCCCGTTTCCATCCTGGGTCAAAACAGACCTCATGACAAGTATATGGCATATGAGCTTTTTATACTACACTTCCAAAGAGAAAAATATGCTCTTTATTATTATCTATCTTTCTTTCCCTCTAAAAAAAATATAGAGGTGCATTTTATAATGAAAAATATGGGCCAAGTATCTCAATACCAGGCAATAAGTGTTCCCAAAACAGAATCTAAACAAACAGAACAAATACACAATCCCCAAAGAAACTTTTCTGGGGTAGCCACCTCACTGGTTTCCCAGATATCATTACCTGGTACTTTAATCTACCATCATCATCTCTCCAGACATCTCGGAGGTTCTCACTGGCCTACCAGAAGCATAAACCGGAATCCTGTTCTCACACACATGCAGTGTAGCCAAGAGCGTCATATATATACCACACAGTAATGATCATCGTCTACATGAACGATCTACCAGAAGGAATACAGAATTATATAAACATGTTTGTTGTTAATGCTAGACTACATGGGGGAAATAACAGACTTAGATGATAGTCACGCCCTTTCATTGTAAGAGGGGGTCTCGTTTGTGGTGGTCCTTGTGGAGAAAGAATTTTATTCATGTCTGCCATCACCAAGGAAAGGCACCCAGAAAGTCAGCACAACAAAACAGACCACTGCTTAGTTGGAAATAAAACAGCAGCCTTAAAAAACCCAAAAGAACTTCCTCAACAATGTAAAGAACTTATTGAAAATTCATGAAACTAGGGAAAATTCATGAAACGAGTTAGGTCGTTTGCCCTACCTTCCCCCTCATTCAGGAGGAGGTGGAAGATAGCCAGGGGCCAGCCAGCTGCTCCACCCTCAGTTCTGTAATGATGGAAACCCCCCCCCCCCACCCCTTCCACACCCTGGGGAAAGGGAGTGTGTCAGGGAGCCACCAGGTCTCACCCAGAAATTGGCATTTCATTATATACAATGCTGGTTTCCTGGGGAAAGACCCGTGTGGCTCCTTGAAGCTATCTACCTACGGAGAAGGATACAAAATGGGTACCAGCCCGGAAGGTGGAAAAATTGGAGAAAAGCAAACAAACCAAGATACAAACTACACAAGGGTGCCAGGGAATGAGCAAGAAACAGTGCCAGCAGACTGCAGGATGACCCCAAAACACCCAGGTGCAATAGGCATGCTGAGAGAAAACTCAACATCAAAGGCCCAAGACTTTTTAACACACTTCCCCCTACACATATGGGGCATGCCTGGCTGACCTCTCACAGTATTCAAAAGAGAACTTGACAAGCACCTTCAAAAGATACCTAATCAACCAAGCTGTGACTCGTGTATTAGGCTGCGAGTCTGATGCACACATCGAACAGCATGGCTGATCAGACCAGCAACCAGGAGAGCCTGGTCAGAGACAGGGGAAGAGGCAGACAGACCACTGACAACACGCAGTCCAGAAACTCGTTCGAAGCTATAGCAGGGACGGTGGGTGGACCACAAGGATCACCAAACCTACAAAGGTTTTCCAGGGGCCTGCAGGGCGAGTGTTCCCTGTAGGTATGCCAAGGCACAGGTATCACTATGGCTGTTACTCCAATACAATTATATAGACTTCGCTGTTAACATTCAACACCACATTCAACTAGGGCAGGAGAGAAAGCAAAAAGAAGACCATCTGCACCTAGACACTAGGTAAACTTAAGTTAGGAATAGCACGAATAAACCCCTTAAAGAAATGAAGGCACAATGAAACTAAAGGCCATCAAGAGACTAAATTACAAATTAAGTACCGCCAACTCTCAAGATTCCCGACTGTGGAGAACAAGGAACAAGGAAGAACAGCACACCAGACCAGGTATAGTAACCTGGAAGGCCCACCTCGGTGTGTTAGTAAGGTTGCATGAACCCCAGTGCTTCCCCACCTGCCTAAAAACACTCCCGACCCAAGGAAAGACCAAAAGTCCATGACAACCGGCTTACCCTAAGGGCAAGGGCCACCACAAACGAAGAGAACCCCAAAGGTAGCCAACCCCAAACATTCCAAGAAAATAATCCTGGCAGTGCAAGGGCAGCCCTTAAGGAGCACACAGAGGAAAGTAGCTCTGAGCACATGCAGCTCCAACACACTAAGCTCCTGGATCATGCTACACAACAATGCACAGAAAAAGCCTCTAAGGCAAAACACCACATATCTGAAGACAGGAGACCGGAGCCAAAGCAACAAGAGAGCAACCAGGCACGTATACAGTAGCATAAGAACTGAGAATGCAGCAGTTGGCTGGCCCCCTTCTGCCTTCCTCCTCCTCCTCCTCCTCCTCCCAAATGAGAGGGGTGGTGGGGCAAACTAGCTTGCATTTGTTTCGTAAATTTTTGATCGTTTCTTTACATTATTTGGAGGGGGGGGGGGGGGGATCTTTAGGCAGTTTTAAGGCTGCAGTCTTGTTTATAACCAAGCAGTGGTCTGTTTAGTTGTGTTGACTTTCTGGGTACCTCCCTTGATGTTCGAAGACATGAATAAATTCCCATAAATCTTCTCAAGTGCTACTGTTCCCTATACCTCTCTAAGGAAGCTAGGTTCTGGATCATAGACCCCGATAAGCCAATAAGAACTCCACGACTGACGGCACCTCATACTCTGGCACTAAATCAGCATAATAGTTTCAGGGAGCCACAAGGGGCGTCCCCTAGAAAAAGTGCCTTTATAACAGATTATGTGCAACAGCACTAAATATATGAATGTTTATGTCTCAAGTGAGACCTCATAGCCAAGCAGGAAGCCCCTGGCTGGTCCACTCATGCCCTAGACACGCTCTGTCCACACAACAGCGGCGATTTTCATAGGGTTTTAGACTGGTTGATTCAAATAGAATAGCTCAAGGCCTGCAAACCAAAAATTTAGTAATTGGATGACATGTTTTAGATCATCGTAACATTTACTATAACTTATGTAATAATCCGCATAGAAGTTTGGATATTGCATTTTAGCGTCATTGGAATGCAAAAGTGTTAACATTTTTGCATTTAACACACAATTAATGACCCTTAGGATTTATTTGTAAGTGAGGAAAGCGTTTATAGATAATATGGTGTTGTACATGGTTAATAACATATGTGACCCATGATTAATGTTAACAAAGCATGGAATAAGTAACACACTACCTGTAGCAGAGTGCTGAAAAGGTCTACTTTCTTGTCTGTTTCTTCTAAGTGAATAGCGTGATCTTGTTTGCACCTCATTTCCATCTTCCTCTTCATCATCATCATCATCATCATCTTTATCATTGTCGCTGTCATTTGATGAAGAATCATGCTTCCTAGACCTTCTCTCTGGATCATCCTCATACATAAAACGCTTTACTGGTCTGCGCTGCCTTTTAACTCTTGAGTACATGTCTACAAACTGAAATTCAATAAATAGAAAATAATAATCCCAAGTAGATTGTATATGTACAGTGGCACCTCGATTAACGAGAGGCTCTATCTACGAGCATTTCAAGTAATGAGCGAGCCACTCGCAGAACACGTGTGTGTCTACTAACGAGCTTTTCCTCGATTAATGAGCGTTTCCGCTGGTTCTCGGACACCTTTTACAACAGTTTTGTTGTTGTTTCGCAAGACGAGTTTTCCACATGACGAGCTCAGTGCTGGAACGGATTAAACTCGTTAATCGAGGTGCCACTGTATTTATCTGTGCCTAATACAGCAACAAAAATATACAAATGTAAAGTATTTTAAACATACCTGTAAATCATTACCACCTCATTTCCAACTTTCAAAGTGGGGAGACATCCAACATAAAAAATAAAGTGTTGAATGTAATAAAATGCCCATTTTGGGGGCTGCCTCAGTAACTTTCTGCTGAATTCGGCTCCAAAAATACTATCAGGCTTCGGGACCTGCGCAAACCTAATGAACATAAATCTACTATTGAACAATGTTGTAAGAACTTGGTAAACTCACAACCAAAACCCTCCAAAAAAATTAAAGAAAATTACATTATTGATTACATTTTCATTACATTAACCCTTAAATGGCGCATGGCTATATACCATTTGACACCCACAGGCGCATATTAATTTAAAAAAAAAAAAAAAAAAAAAAAAAAAATCTTCCTAACCTGTTAATTTGTGTTCACTGATCATGGGAAAAATAATAAAATCGTAAGGGCCATATATTGCCCGCTATAGGGCGGGGAAGTCTGGCAAAAAACAGGCGCTGGCTCAGCGTGCATCGCAGGCGGACTGTTGCTCGCCAGCTGTCAGGCTGGAGTTGCCACAAAGAGATAATTACCTAATTATTTCAATGTCTCTGATTTTTTGCAGTTTTTTTTGCTGTAATATTATTCAATAGTGTGTAGTGTGATATATTTATATAATAAAATGAGTGAATCATAGCTGTACTCAAAAATATGGTGTGCATATTGTTGATTCAATTATGTTCATCAAACAGTGAACAAATACTTTGTCGGTTATTACACTATATACACAGGTTATATATAAGTATCTGCATGTTTTGTTCACCATAACGAACCACTAAGTTGCTATTATGAGTCAAAAAGTAACGAGGAGTGACTGCCACAGCCAGCCACTCAGCCACACCTCACTCGCCCACATTCTCCTCCCACCATACTGTTTTTGCTTTTATTCACTATATACAGACGTTATATATAAGTACTCACTCCCTCAACACCTCACTCGCCCACATTCTCTCTTCCCACAATACTGTTTTTGCTTTTATTCACTATATACAGACGCTATATATAAGTATCTACATTCGTGTTCACCATAACGAACCACTAAGTTGGTATGCTGAGTCAAAGTGGCAGTGACAGCCAGTGGCAGACCGCCACTGGGTGCCACTCCCTCTCTCCCACACCTCACCCGACTTGCCACCATTCTCCTCCCACCATACTGTTTTTGCTTTTATATACAGACGTTATATATAAGTATTTACATGTTTTGTTCACCATAACTGTACATCTAAGCTTGTATGGTGAGTAAAGGCACAAAGACGTAGCTACTCACACAGTCAGCTGGTGGCTGCCGCCCTCAAGGCAAGACGCACTAATATTTCTCCTCCAACAATACTGTTTGTGGTGTTATTACGCTATATACACACATTATATATAAATATCTACCCGTTTTATTCACCATACTTGTACAAGTAAACTGGTATGGTGCCCAAAGACCATAGTGGTCACCAGTAAACAACATGATAAGTCGTGCAGATGATGCCTCCGCCCTGGTAGGCCTGGTAGCCTGGTGGATAGCGCGCAGGACTCGTAATTCTGTGGCGCGGGTTCGATTCCCGCACCAGGCAGAAACAAATGGGCAAAGTTTCTTTCACCCTGAATGCCCCTGTTACCTAGCAGTAAATAGGTACCTGGGAGTTAGTCAGCTGTCATAGGCTGCTTCCTAGGGGTGGAGGCCTGGTCGTGGACCGGGCCGCGGGGACACTAAAGCCCCGAAATCATCTCAAGATAACCGCCCTCACCAAAATGGCGGCTCCCAACCTACTCCTTTTGCTGTTTATACCCTCTATACACAAGTTATATATAAGTATCTACATTTGTGTTCACCATAGCGAACCACTAAGCTGGTATGGTGAGTGCAGTCAATAAAAGGTGGCCAGACACAGTCAGAAGACAATGCCACTACCCTCCCCTCCCACAGCATTCTCCTGCCTCCATGGAGCACAGCGCTAAATATCACCACAATCCTGCTATGATCAGAAGCCTGGTCAGTTTTATCACAGTCAGGGGTCTTCTGTAATATCATTGCTACATAATAGCATGAACAAGAGTATTATGGCATTTTTAGGCGATGCTGTGGTCACCAGCTGAATAGCAGCGCTGTGAGCTCATGCTGCGTGTGTCAGGCTTGGTAGCTCACTCAATACTGAGGCCCCTAACACCCGGGAATTTGGCCCACGATTTAAAAAAAAAATGACGTCTGTTTACAAGAGCCCTGATGAAGGTGTGGTGAACCCCGTGTATCTGCGGGCCATTTAAATCTTGCGTAGTACTCCAAAGCATCATATGATGCGATGCGCAATTTAAGGGTTAAGCAACAGTACAATAAAACACAGTAACCACATTAGTGGGCAAAGAAAAGTACTAAAAATAGTAAGGGAACTGCAAACAATGGCAAGGTGCTGCAATAGACTGTACCACTTTAATTGTGATATGCTGTTTTTTTATCTATACTTTCTGGGTAGTTTTACTCAAAAATAAGTCAACAATTATATACGCTCACCTGGGAGCACGTGTTGGTGAAGCAGCAGCAGATGAAACAAACTATTCCCAAACCACCATATATTATCTACATACAGTACTGGCAAAAATAACAAAAACTACAGAAAAATAGTTCTAACAAAAACTTTATAAACTTTCAACATTCATATAAAATATCCTATACCATATATAATTATATTATCACTTGGAAGCTTAGATCTCATTGATCAAAATTTGCAGCCACCTTGATGCTATTCTGTCCCAAAATAACACTGCTCACTTCAACATACCATCTGATATACGTATATAACCAGCATTCTTAGACATTCGTAACAAATCTAGTGACACTATCGTGCTACTGGTAAAATCATAATTATTTGTTTGATCAAATAGTAGTACAAATCCTCTGTTATTCTGGTCTTATACCAAGTCTCATCCACCAATACCTAGTCTATTTAACATTTTCATACTATCATATATTTTTCCCCCCTGATTTTCATACAATCAGGGACCATAAAAAATGGAACTTAACCTACCGGGTCCTTCATCGATAATGAACCAGCGGTAGAAGGATCGCGTATCCTCTTACGTCCACGTCTAAGTTTTATTGGTGTTTCCTCCTCATCCTCTTCCTCTTCAGTATCATCAATTTTCTGTCCAGCAGCAACCAAAGAGCTTCTTGTCGTACGTCTTTTCTGTGGGATTTCATCGTCATCATCGTCGTCGTCGTCATCGTCATCATCATCATCGTCGTCGTCGTCGTCATCGTCATTATCATTTCCTCCTCTCTCTTCCTTATGTACTTCTTCTTTAACCTCCTTAAACCTTTTAATGTGCTGTTCAGACCTTTCTCCATCAGATTCTATTT